AAATTTTCCGCATGAACTCACCTGTCAAATTTTGACCAATCAGAGCATAAAAATTGGACGTAGAGCGTGACCAACGCGTGACTTTGGTGAGAAGAGTCAAAAGCAACTGGCATGTCTTCCCTGCCTATAAAAACTGGCTGAATTTTAGCTTCCGAGGTCAGTTTGAAATCAACATTTTAATTGTGCGGCACATACAAAACACAACCTATTTCATATGAATTAAAAAAAATAAACTTGAGCCTGCGATCATTTGAAAACTAGTAACTTGTCAGCGGATAACTTCAAAAAGATGTTCGACCTCGATGGGTCGACACCTGAGCCCGCGATACGGTCAGGTGATACTGGTCAGCGGATACCCTGTTTTGACACCTGTCAATTGATCACAACATTGATCTGCAATATATGGGTTCAATATCAGTCTTCCTGTACTGCCAAACTAGCAAGAAAGTGTGAGGATTAAACACTGGTTACCCTGTGGTGCGGACGGACGGGCGGGCGGGCGGTGTACGGTCACGTGATAACCAAATTTTCTGGGATGGGTAGATTTACTTACCCATGGTGCTCCGCAGGCGCGCTTCGCGCGCCAGAGCTCCGCTATGATGATAGCCGCGAAAAAACACGCAGCGGCAACACTTACATATCCTCGAAGGAGAAGGAAAATGACGAACGTTTGAACACTTTACAACTTGAAGTCACAAAATGCGAGATAACAAAAAATTACAAATCAAGTTTCACAGTCTTCTGGAGTTTTTGTAGAATGACTCAATCATTGCAGTGTCTTTCTTGTCGTCATTTCCAGGATATAACAAATTACAACATCATAAGGTATTAAACAATTGGGCCACTTGAACGGGGAAAAATAAGACGCGTCTAGTTAACTTCTCCTATAAGTGGCACAAAAATTGTGTTCAAGACTTGAATAAAACGGGACTCAGCTAAGACACTCCTTATATGCTCGTATAAATGGTACAGTTTGTGTCTTATTTAAGACTTGTCTTATGTAAGCAGCGTCAAAAGACACTTTACAAAGCATACATGTATTTCTTCAGCTGCGAGAAGCGACAAAAACGTATGCAAAATTACTACGCGTTGCGAAAATGGAAACGCTTACCACAGAGTGACTGCCCTGCTTATTCCCCGGTCAGGGAGACAAAGACCGGGATTTCTAGCGTATCCCCCACCTACCGGGGAATAAAAATGGGGTGATTGAGTGACTATGATTACCCCGGTCATCCCCTTAGGGGGGGAGGGGGGGTGGAGTTTCAAATGACTGGTGTATTAATCCACTTTTCAAATTCATGCAAAAAACTCCAATCTGTTTTTCAGTGAGAGTGAGTGGATGATAACAAGCAGTGCAAATACGAAAAACGAAATTGAAATCCGTTTTTCAAAGTGATGCGAAAACGAAACACGAAAAACGAAATTCAAATCCGTTTTTCAAAGTGATGAGAAAACGAAAAACAAAAACCGAAATTCAAATCCCCTTTTCAAAGTGCGGCGAAAACGAAAAACAAAATTCAAATCCGTTTTTCAATGTCACAAGTCGACGAAAAACGAAAAATAGAAATGGAAATGGAATTCCATTTTACAAGGCCGAAGAAATACGAAAAATAAAAATGAAATTTGAATTCCATTTGTTTATGCCATCGAAAAACGGTTGGCACTAAGGTACACGCATTGTAAACGCATTCTCAGAGACAGCAGGATGACTGATGAGACTCTCTAGGTCGCTTTCGTTCCGCGTTTTTGCATCAAAAACTCTGAACGTGTAGCACGCGTTTTGTCACTCACTTAAGCCGAATAGCAGTACGATCGTCGCTTTGATCTCTAATACCGTCGTTTGATCAGTGTTGATCGTCCCGACCCCCGCCCTTTAATTTCTTCGAAATTATCGGTATCCCGATACAGACACCACTGGATAGAGAGGCTCCCACCTATTGCATGTACGTCTGGTAGACTGAAACCCCCCTTTTTTCACATGTAAATGATCGTGATTACGAGAATACCATGATCTCCACAGGAAAGGCGAGGTCGCGGTTCAAAGCAGGGTTATTGATACCCAGGGTAAGTGCCAAATTTGAATTCAGATATGGAAGCTTGAAAAGAAAAGTTAGTTTAATCCTTTTTGTCATCTAAAATTTGACGTTTGGATTCTCTAAAAAGAGCAGCAAAAGAGGGAGGATTCCGGGTAAAATTTAACCCGGGGTTAACCCCAATAGGCCTTCCAACAATTAACTGGGCCAAGTCTTTGGGTCGGCCAGGGTTTTTAGGTATACTGTATATTGGGGCATTTAATTTCAGGTAACACTATTTTTTATGCTTAAAATTAGGTATAAAGTATTCACTCACAACTAATTTTGGGCATAAGGTATACCGTGGTTTTCTTAATTTTGGTAATTTACCCGAGTCTTAGTATAATTTTTGATATATTGGAAGGTTTATTTCGGGTATTTTGGTATTCCTCTACCCTCCACCCCCTGCCCGACCCTGAAGTCTGGGCACACACTTCACTGATTGAAAAAAAAAATCGGTACAGGACAGTGCCAATCGAAGGTTGTCGTACAACTACCGAGGATCGAGCAAATGATTGGAAGAATTTTATCTTAATGTAAGATAAGGAGCTTTCAGGTTCCTTATTTTACATTAAGATATAACTAAAGTTAAAATAGCTTGTGGGCAATCTATTATTAGAGAGCTGAACCATGACTCGCACACACCTTGGTCGTGGCCTTGCATATAAATCACATCTAACGAAAAATGTTTCTTTAATTGCCTTCCAGTACCGTTTGGATGATGACGACATGTAAATATCCTAACTGTTTGGAAACAAGCCGAATAAATCTTGTGGCTTCAGCAAGACGTGTCTGCGTAAACGATTCCTATAAAGAGTGCGCGGAATAACATTGTGAAATTTTTTGTGAGACTGTAACAAAAATATAATAATTGTACTTATACGAGATACAGGATAGCAGTTGCCTTGTACCCGTTCCTTTTTAACACGTTTTTCTCCACTACGGTCCATTTTTTCAAACCCTAAGACGCGCTTCAAAAACTCGGGGATATATTAACAGCGTTTAACTGGGGAAGGGATATTTAGCTTTGCTTGAATTGTTGGGAGGTTCGAAAAAACCGAGTTTTTGAGAGATTCTATTGCAGTTTAAAATATTAAGGAGACAAGCGCAAGACAGGAGCTGCGATAAAACTAAGCCGTGCAACTGACTCTTGTGACAAATCACAAGCAAGTCGAAGCAAAGACCGCAGGTGGATCACGTACGGTTAATAGTAGAACTGAATTGTTAAGAGATCACGCAAATTTTTGAGGTTTAGGCAATGGTTCAGACTAAGAACTGACGGAGAAAGTAAAAATAATGAGACTGAGATCCCGTTTACAAGAACTGACAAAAACTTGCACGGATCCGTCTTTCGTTCACATTGGACTCATAGAACCGCCGTGCAAGTTTTTAAGCGGCCGGCAAACTTGTGTGGACTCGTGTAAACAGTGCTGCAATCTGTAACAGAATTTGCACGGTTTCGTGTAAACGCGTTGCACATGAAGTAAAGAACTTGTCTGTTTAATAATCTGGCCGGACCCGTGTAAACCGGGTCTGAAACGGCAGCCCTTGCTTCCCGCAATTGAAACGTCTGAATAAACATTTGTCGGAGACGACACTGTTTTCAAATTTTCTATAAATGAAATGAAGAAAATACATCTACTTTCTAAGCCTTATAAGTTGCATTGTGTTGTATTTACAAACAGTACTGATCACAATTTACAGATGTAGTCTATCCAGAATACTTAGGCAAAATTATTCAAAATGGCGGCGTCCTTGAAGAGTTCAAAGAAAGTAGTCAGAGGCAAAAATTTTTTCATATTAACAAACTTGATTTAGTCGAATACACCACAGCAAATTCAATTTGCTTTGCAATTTAAACATAGACCTCGTTTAGTTTGGATGGAAACGTAATGACACTATACCACACACATTTATGTTCACTCCTCTTCTCGATAAAAGACTAACACGACTGTATATCCTCTTCTCCCTTCCATGTGTGAACATGTTCTACATCTCATTAACCCAGTCTGGTATATCCTGGTTTGTCCAACCACCTTCCTGGGAGGCCGTTATTTGGAACTTTGAACAAGCCGTCCCTCACTGGATTGTAGCCTGCGTAGCAAGCGTTTCCGTTTGGTTTCCGAGCAAAGAAATACCGAAGGGGACTTTCGGTTTTGACCGCGCGAGAAATGAAACGAGAGCCAAAAAGTGAAAGAGGGCCACTTTTCTTGCGGTCTTTGACTCTCGTTCCTCTTTCTTTTCTGCTAAACCGCACAGTAACGCTTGCTACGCAGGCTAATTGGATTGCTACTGAACAGTTTTTATCAATTATCTTCATTTATTGGTATTTCCTTTTATCTTCCCACTGCAGTGTTATTACGGCCGATAAAATTTAGAAGCACAAAATTATCGATCCAAATTAACTCTGAGTAGGTCTGTGAAACCGCCATTCGACTATTTTGAATATTCATGATTTTTCTGTATTAGTTTAGACTTGGAGAATAATTGATTACTCTTATTTAAGTGCCCTTGAATAACTGAAATACGTGTGGTCTATGGAGACAAAGACGGATTTGGGACGTTTAAGTATCAAAGTTCTTACTATGAATTAAACAAAAATTACATCGTAAAATTTTAAATAAATGATTGTAAAACATTCAAATTCGATTTCATGCGAGATTATTTGCAACTGGTATTTCTTTTGAAAAACATCGGCACATTCAAAGGTGTAATTTCTTCGGAATGTTTACATTTGCTTAAGTAAAACAAAACAGACATTTAATGCTGACATATATCGTATAGTCTTGGATGCAAATATCCTTGAATCTGACTACTTTAATTATTACGTTGCACTGGGTAAAAAGAACGAAAGACGAATGCAGTTCGGGATAGTAACTATTTTAAGTGGCTGATGGAAACATAGTCAATTTTTAGCATGGAATTTCTTTAGCCAAAGAACTGCATCCAACTCTGTTGCTTATCAGAGTTATCGCTCAAGTTCGTCCGTTTATTTGTCTTACAAAAATTACTTGTTGCTTCTATTTCACTGTTACCTTGTATAATTTTCATGTAGAGTCCTTTACTCGCTTCTGGAAGCGCATTTTGTGCGCAGTGAACATGCATACCTGGAGGGAAAAAGTCTGGAAACAAAATTTGATTATTTCGCTCGACGCGACAAGTAGATAAATTGTGTCCCAGATTCCGTTTAAGATAAGGACAAGTTTCAGTTCTATCTTGATCCCGGGATTCCGCGTATTGTTGTTGTTGCGGGCGCGTTTCATTTGTCAATGTTTTTTGAGCGTGCGGCATGGTTGCATTTCTTTGGAAGGTCTTAATACTCGCGGCATGAAACTCGCGGTGCACGTCTTCAACCTTGCGAGCCCTGAGACTGCTCTTGTTGTCTTTAGTTTCTAGAAATGGGAGTTCCTCGCAGTCTTCGTCGGCCTCGTAAATAGGCGGCAAACCAATTAAAGAATTCCTCTTTCTCGGACTAAGCAAAGGAAACTTTGCATATCGAGCGTGTCGTTTTCCACCCCGATTTTCCTCGTGACGATAGATAGTCATTGTCAAAGCACAGTATCGTGACGATAAATGTTTTAATACCCAACCATTGTTCCGTTGTTCTTGTAGTTCAGTTATTCAGACTCCCGTGTTATAACTCTTAAACGCTGCTTTAATTTCTTTGTTGCGAAATATCGTCAATTGCATTCATCAATTTCAAGCCGCTGCACAATCGAACGAACCAGATGAAAGTGATTTTTACGTGCTATTTTGAAGTAACGACTCCCAGGTCAGTTCATTAAATGCGACGATTCCTTCCACGATGGTTTCAATTACTCGTGATCTGTATGTTTTTAGCACCTAGTTCAAATTTGTGCTAAACCACCAGCCCACGTATCAAGCCAGAGTTTAAAAATAAACCCCTTCCGTCAACTTGTTGTTTCAACGAAGTAAGAGGTATGAATTAAGCTCTCTGTGATTGGTTCCGCTAAAACCTCTTTTTTCGATAGGTAACTAGATGCATATCACGTCTGCAGTGGCCAGCCCAATTTCAAAACATACGTAAGCTGCGCTTAGCCTTATTTTTCTGTAGTTTTTACAGTAAGAAATCTTACTGACAAAGAGCCCTAACAGCCTGTTCTTTATTGACTCAGAAAATTTAATTTCGTTCTAAATTCAAATCATGTAGACGGGGATGGGAAATGCGATGTCACTTCGATTGTTATGGTGCTGACACAAACTTGTTTTGTGAAAGCGAAATGGGTTTTTCCGTATCATATCACAGCGATTTTTGCAATTTATTGGTCGAGTAGAATGACATGACAATTGAACGGTCCAATACGATAGTACAGGCAGGCAGGTGGAAGAAGTGATATCAGCGGGAAGCCGTTTTGCCCGCAGTCATCTATTAATAGCCAACTGTCAGGACTCTGTAAATAACCTTTTATACCTTACCGAGACACACAAAAGTATGTTTATAATTTATTAAAAGAAAATACTCATATTTTTTGTCCTTCATTGTCGAGCACGATAATGAATTTAGATCTATGCTAAACAATTTGGTCGCTTCTGTCATTCGCATGTATGACAATGAAAACTATAATATTATTTGAGCTCCTAAATCTTAGATTACTGAAACTGCTATAAATTTTCAAACGTAAAAATTGACCTTTTTCGTTTCCTGGAATATTTTATATCGACTTCTCCAAGGTATAATTCAGTTTCTTAATTTAATTTAAATCGTATTTTTTTTAAATTATATTTCTGTTGTTAGTAAATATTTAAAATTTTTTGCTTGTAAGCCGCCGGCAGCAGTCAAAGGCCTGAATTCTCTATTCAGTGTCTTTTTATAGCGCTGACATGTTAGACATATCATGGGATTAATAATTTGAGCACATTCACCATAAACAATTTGGTGAAAACTTATTGTTCGAATTTTATTTTTTGAATTTTCATGCGAACGAGTTGAAATAATTTAGAACTGAATACTCTTCTGCACTAACACGACGACTGTTGGCTTAACAGCGCGGTGTTCTTAGCAGATTTAACTTGAACTCCAATGGTTACAGATGTTTCAGTGTACCTTTATCAAACTCGGCTGTATTGGATTCACAATATATTCAAAGTAAATAATTTAAAATAATTGTTTTTGTTTATATTGCTTCTCTCTCATGCCTTTTAGTTTTCAAAACTAAACAGAATCGTATTTTTCAGTCTTCTGAAATTGAAGCAAGAAATTTGTTTAATCAAACGAATTGTAGTTCCATGTTTGAAATTATCGAATCTGAAGTTTTTATACCCTACAGCTCCAATTAGCGGACTGAATCTTTAGAACGAGTAATAATTCAATGTAACCGAAGTACATACACATAGGATTAACTCTGATTCATAAAACAGTTTGAAACTTAGCTTGAAAAACAAGATCAACGGCTTTTAGGACCTCACGTGATTAATCAATACTATAAAATCACTTTTTGTTTTCCTATAATTCAAGTGAGCACGATTCACCATTCATAAACAATACTAACCAAAATAGTGAGACGAGAGGCAACAAAATGACAGAATTAAACCAAAATAACTTATAACAACCTTGGCGAAACGAGAGGCGTCAAATGCCGGAATGACGTCAAAACAACATCCGAACGCCTATTGAAGTGTTTGCAGTACACGAAGAAATGATTCTTCAGATGGCAAAAACTACGAAAAACAAGCTAAAACTAGCAAGAAAAAGTTTGCATTAAACTAATTTAACGTTGTGATTTAAAGACAATATGTGCTACTCCACATTATAAAAATAAATAACTAAAATCTACAAAAGCAATACTCTTTCGAGAAACTATTGAGGAGGTCATTTGTTTTTAGAGCCGGTAGTTCGTTACACGAGCTATTTATCACAAGAAACTTGGCCTAAAACATAATTACTCGACAAAAAACAAAGTTATTGAGGAAAAATAAAAAGTGATTTTCCATTGAAGTTGTTGTCGTTGTTTTTTCGTTCTCGAAAAAAATTAGAAATAATACTTAAGCAAATGTTTTCTCAGAACGGCATTTAAGAGCAAATACTTCAGAAAATCACTCTAAATTGCTGTAAAAAGGTTTTGGATCGGTAACTTCACACGATTTAAGCCATGACCAGATACGTGCTGTTTACTTATACTACTAAAAAAAAACACTCATGAGGAAAAAAAAACATTCTCAAAAGGGCTTAGAGATCAACACGTGTTGTTTACCCTTCTTTCTTCAAAAGTTAAGATTACTAATTCACAAGAAGCTTTATGATTCTCTAAAAAAAATACCTAGGAAAATCTTTGGAATTTGATTTTGGCTACTCTCACATATTTTGGGCTGTTTATTTCAAAATATTGAAAGCAAAGTGAGGTACGATGTATGACCCATACTGCTCAAACTTGAGAGAAAACAGTTAAGGAAAACAAATATTCTTGAAAGAGATGCGGGGTTTTTAATACCTTAGTTTTCGAACTGCTAGTAACAAAACACGGCATGGAATTTACCTTAAAACCATTTTTAAAAACAACTCATGAAAAGAAAGAACATATTGTAAGCACGTGCTGTTTACCCCACTCCATATTTTCGCAAAGTCAAAACACTCAGTCTTAGATACCTTTTAATAACTGGGGTGGTAACTAACATAATTTATTAGAGCTGCTAATAGTGTGGCACGTGCTGTTTACCCCGAGAGGCTCTAAAGCAACAGAAATGACTTTAAAAAGAGTAGGCCATTTATGAATCACTCGTGCGAGATAGGAAGAAATAAATGCCAAAGTGACTGTGCGCGTAACCGGGCATTAAACTGATTTTCAGTTGGTTCTTTTCGATGCTTCCGAGAAATCAACAATGAATATATATCAAATAAGAATTAATTCTTTATATTCAATATTTTGGTATACTGCACAATTTATTCCAGTGCCACGAATCACGACTGAATCACAATACTACCAGTTAAGAAACACATTTTATTTTATTCCACTATTGCTTATTGGTTGTTTGTCGATTTGTGCCAAATTTTCCTCGCGAGAAAAAAATTAGCAGGTAACTCACGAAGACCAATTATTTTATATTTTATTATGCGATAGCGTTTTAAACAACAAACAATAACTTCAGATTGAAAAAGTCAAAACTAAAAACAGTACGGGCAAATTAGATCTCTTCTGATTCAGAAGAATCTGACCTTGAAATAACGCTCTATATTGAAAGTCCAAGATATTTAAGGTTAAATCATATTGGCCCAGAAAATGGTAAGGACTGTTTTTTAACACGTTGTTTTAAAGTTTTATAATGCTGTATTTTTTACAATATAATGTACGTGTTTTCTTTATATGCATGTTTTGAATTTTTACCTTCTGTAACAACTAGATCACTATAATTATTAAAACTCCAACTGATTGTCAGTTTTTAAGCAAAAATTACATTATTTCCTGCTGTATTGTTCATGAATTTGTGAGACTAGAATCACGCTCTCTATCACGAGTTAATTTATTGAAAACTGATCAACGGATATATGTGATATTGCAAGACACGTTCTGAACAATAATAACTTAAATCAGGTTTAGTGGACACTGATTATCATGAATAATCGAATCTTTTTTTCTTTTTCAAATTAAAAACAACCGCGCCCACATTCTCGGGAAGGAAAATTTGTTTCCTTAGATTCCTAAAAGAAACATTATATTTTTGAGGATTCATTTGCAGGAAAATAAAATCAATATACTGCTTACTACTTAATTCGACTGATAATATATTCAACTCAAAATAATAAGTTTACTGGGGGCTTAGAATATTGTAAGTTTACTTCAAAAACATGACATGTCGTGCTTCATCTACAAGAATTAAGAAGAATAATTAAATAATGTAGTTCAAATAACTGATATTGATCACGAATGATAGTATGGCAAGCAGAAGCTTCTGGGTGGGTACAATGAAACGTGATTAGGACTCATTTATATCCAGCTCAAAATTTACGATATTTGCAGAGACTTGCAGCAAGACGCCGCTTTACAAATTCCAGTGAAAGCGGAGATGGTTAGTAAGAATTAATTGAATAAACATTATTATGTATTTTGATCATAATTGTGTTTCTCGCTTGACGCAAAATTTAGGCGTTTTACGGAAAACGGTCAAATGCCCGAAAATGAAAGGAAATGACACTTTCATAAGTTACAAAATACAGTTTTTCCGGACATACCTTAAACGGTAAGCACAGCGCCATAGGCGGTCGCGTTATCGGAAAACAGTCATGTTTTTTTTCCTGGCTTCGAACGTGATATTTCTCTCCTACACCTACACGTGACTTTCAAGCCGCATATTTACTTTGCTCCCGGCACTGGCCCTCACTGATTGGTAAACAACACGTCACGTCGCCTTTCAAGATTTTTCGCGTATTTCTAGGCCGAAGCACTATTTATATAGCTCAATTGAACGCTTGAAATTAAAACATCTTGCTGGACGGAGAACAAGAATTTGAAGAAAATTTTGAACAGGTTGCTTGCTTTACTGACTGACAGGTGCATATTGAAGGAAAATTTATCAAGCCAGAGCAGATCGTT